GAGAAACTTCATTTTTCGCCCGAAAAAAAAACAAAAACGAAAGGGGTAACACTGTCATTTTTTTTTTCGGGTCGAAATTTTGAGTTTCGATATCTCAGCACTGGAAGGGTCTAGAGCCTCCATTGTTGCACTCAGGTCTAAGTCTCATGGCCCTCTATCAGAATCCAGAGTTTTGAGAAGATTGGGGATACTTAATTTTTCGCCCCAAAAAAAAAAAACGTAAGGGGTAACACTGTCGTTTTTTTTTTCTGGTCGAAATTTTGATTTTCGATATCTCAGCTCTGGAAGGGTCTAGAGCCTCCATTGTTGCACTCAGGTCTAAGTCTCATGGCCCTCTATCAGAATCCAGAGTTTTGAGAAGATTGGAGAAACTTCATTTTTCGCCCGAAAAAAACCCCGAAAGGGGTAACACTGTCTTTTTTTTTTTCTGGTCGAAATTTTGAATTTCGATATCTCAGCTCTGGAAGGGTCTAGAGCCTCCATTGTTGCACTCAGGTCTATGTCTCATGGTCCTCTATCAGAATCCAGAGTTTTGAGAAGATTGGGGATACTTAATTTTTCACCCAAAAAAAAAAAAACATAAGGGGTAACACTGTCGTTTTTTTTTCTGCTCAAAATTTTGAATTTCGATATCTCAGCTCTGGAAGGGTCTAGAGCCTCCATTGTTGCACTCAGGTCTAAGTCTCATGGCCCTCTATCAGAATCCAGAGTTTTGAGAAGATTAGGGATACTTAATTTTTCGCCCCAAAAAAAAAAACGTAAGGGGTAACACTGTCGTTTTTTTTTCTGCTCAAAATTTTGAATTTCGATATCTCAGCTCTGGAAGGGTCTAGAGCCTCCATTGTTGCACTCAGGTCTAAGTCTCATGGCCCTCTATCAGAATCCAGAGTTTTGGGAACATTAGGGATACTTAATTTTTCGCCCAAAAAAAAAAAACGTAAGGGGTAACACTGTCGTTTTTTTTAGGGGTCGAAATTTGGATTTTCGATATCTCAGCTCTGGAAGGGTCTAGAGCCTCCATTGTTGCACTGAGGTCTATGTCTCATGGCCCTCTATCAGAATCCAGAGTTTTGAGAAGATTGGGGATACTTAATTTTTCGACCAAAAAAAAACCGTAAGGGGTAACACTGTCGTTTTTTTTACGGGTTGAAATTTTGATTTTCGATATCTCAGCTTTGGAAGGGTCTAGAGCCTCCATTGTTGCACTCAGGTCTAAGTCTCATGGCCCTCTATCAGAATCCAGAGTTTTGAGAAGATTAGGGATACTTAATTTTTCGCCCCAAAAAAAAAAAACGTAAGGGGTAACACTGTCGTTTTTTTTTCTGCTCAAAATTTTGAATTTCGATATCTCAGCTCTGGAAGGGTCTAGAGCCTCCATTGTTGCACTCAGGTCTAAGTCTCATGGCCCTCTATCAGAATCCAGAGTTTTGGGAACATTAGGGATACTTAATTTTTCGCCCAAAAAAAAAAAAACGTAAGGGGTAACACTGTCGTTTTTTTTAGGGGTCGAAATTTGGATTTTCGATATCTCAGCTCTGGAAGGGTCTAGAGCCTCCATTGTTGCACTGAGGTCTATGTCTCATGGCCCTCTATCAGAATCCAGAGTTTTGAGAAGATTGGGGATACTTAATTTTTCGACCAAAAAAAAAACCGTAAGGGGTAACACTGTCGTTTTTTTTACGGGTCGAAATTTTGATTTTCGATATCTCAGCTCTGGAAGGGTCTAGAGCCTCCATTGTTGCACTCAGGTCTAAGTCTCATGGCCCTCTATCAGAATCCAGAGTTTTGAGAAGATTAGGGATACTTAATTTTTCACCCAAAAAAAAAACGTAAGGGGTAACACTGTTGTTGTTGTTTTTTTTTACGGGTCGAAATTTTGATTTTCGATATCTCAGCTCTGGAAGGGTCTAGAGCTTCCATTGTTGCACTCAGGTCTAAGTCTCATGGCCCTCTATCAGAATCCAGAGTTTTGAGAAGATTGGGGATACTTAATTTTTCGCCCCCCAAAAAAAAAAACAGTAAGGGGTAACTCTGTCGTTTTTTTTTCTGGTCGAAATTTTGATTTTCGATATCTCAGCTCTGGAAGGGTCTAGAGCCTCCATTGTTGCACTCAGGTCTAAGTCTCATGGCCCTCTATCAGAATCCAGAGTTTTGAGAAGATTGGGGATACTTAATTTTTCGCCCCAAAAAAAAAACGTAAGGGGTAACACTGGCTGCGTCCAAAACCGCATACTCAATGAGTAGGTACTTAATTTCAATGAGTACTTACTCAACGAGCGCTAAAAGAGTAGGTACTTTATAGCAGAGATGGGAGCAAGTCACACGTTCAAGTCACAAGTAAGTCATGAGTTCATGGGTGGAATAAAAATATGGCAGGACTTTTACTTTCTGACCCCTGGACTAGGGCTGCACGATTAATCGTACGATATTGTTGTGAGCATCTAATCAGTAAAGTCGGTTCCTTGATTAGTAGTAAATCACCTTCACCTGCTTTCAGATGGAAGATATGATGCAGATATGAGTGTTAAATGAACATTCAAAAGTGTTAAAGTTAATGAGATAATTAAGTGATTAATTTAGTGATGATTGAGCATTATTGAAGACACCTGATGATAACAAGCAGAATCACTGAAGGAGAAAATCACAAATTGTAAGTCACCGTTATGGAGATCAGTGTCTGCTTTAGTTGGGCTCTTGACACTTGTACTTTCACTTTAAACTTTGTTTGTCTGCTGTTATAGATTTATAACAGTCAAATGAACAAAGACATCTGTGATCTAATAGTGTCAGTTGTGTAATGACATAATCATGCAATGATCTGAAAAAGGAAACTCATTCAGATGATCTGGTATTTAGAGTATAAACTAAAACATTTAATAAAAATGATTCTGATCAAATCATTTTTGTCTTTATTTAGTAACACAGACATCAATAATCAGCCTGTCTATCTCAACCGTGGTGACATTTATAATCCTTGTTGCCACCAATCACAACTCATTAATGGCTCCCATCATGCATTGCGGTATGAATAAATTATGATCTGAATTGTCTATGTAATTTACTTTTCCTACTTGAATATTCATCACCATTGTTGAGATGCATTGACTGAATCTTGATATCTGTGTGTGGCTAAAAGAAAGATTTTTTTTTTTACAACTTTTAAGAAATCCTTTATGTTATAGCTCAAATTCTGGATATTTATGCAGAATCTCAGTTATAGTGTAACCAACAACATAAATCACAGACATAAATTTCAAATAATGATTGTCAGAATATAACCAACACCATTTGATTTTTTTTTCTTTGTTTATCTGGCAGGTATAACTCAGATGCAACAGCCAATTAAAATATAAAGTTTATAATACAAAGGTCAAGAGCCCAACTAAAGCAGACACTGATCTCCATAATGGTGACTTACAATTTGTGATTTTCTCCTTCAGTGATTCTGCTTGTTATCATCAGGTGTCTTCAATAATGCTCAATCATCACTAAATTAATCACTTAATTATCTCATTAACTTTAACACTTTTGAATGTTCATTTAACACTCATATCTGCATCATATCTTCCATCTGAAAGCAGGTGAAGGTGATTTACTACTAATCAAGGAACCGACTTTACTGATTAGATGCTCACAACAATATCGTACGATTAATCGTGCAGCCCTAGTCCAGGGGTCAGAAAGTAAAAGTCCTGCCATATTTTTATTCCACCCATGAACTCATGACTTACTTGTGACTTGAACGTGTGACTTGCTCCCATCTCTGCTTTATAGCCAAATCTCGTTGAGTATAAATGAAAACCGGACATCTGCCATGTTGACGTTATCATGTGACCTACTACGACGCGTTATCATCATATCACAAGCGCAAAGAAATGAACAGCGACACGTTTAATTCTTCTATCTACAAATATCTTGACATTGATGAAACTTGCTCATTTTGTTGTGGTATTGTTGAAGAAACAGCTGGCCATTCATTTTGTGAATACATTTAAGGTTGATTTAAGTTGTTATATTTTAAACCCTAGGCCTACTAATGTGACCCACAGTGTTATTCTTATAACGATATTTTTTTTTATTAAGAAACCCCCAAATCGTCACCTCTTGAATATATGTTGTTAATTTCTTTATTTTATACCCAAAACGTTTCTCCTTTAAGTTTTCCTCCTTTTCTTGATGAATTTACCTTGTTTCATCCCTTCAGACCTATAACAACAACAACAAAAAAACAACAACATTTTTCATGTATTATGAAGAACTATTTAAAGATAGCCTTGTTATTGTTCCTTTTTCTTGTATTATGATGTAAACAAACCAATGATCTTTATGTTTTCTGTTTTGTCATTATGACTATTATGGTATCTTTCCATGATCTTGTATGTAATACGTTTATAAGTTTAAATTATATAAGCGACAGGTGTACTAACATTTCATAACATCAGTGACTCGACAGCACAACCTAGAACAGTTTTCCTCTGCGTTTGTAATGTCTGCACAAAGGAGACGGGCAGCTGCTCGAAGATCTCTTTTTGGAGAAAACTGTTCATTTTATACTCGAAAAATGTAAGTATCACTCCTTAAAAATTAATATTACCTCAGAATGAATTGCATTGTTGGCCCACCCCAAAACTTAAACAAAATAATAATATTAAATGCTGACCAATACTTAATTATATAACTTTTTTATATACTAAAAATATAATTTAATATAACAAGCAAAGTGTAATTTGTTTTGTCATATGACAGTTATGCATGAATACATTTATATTCATAAATGCAGTGAAACATCTCAATTATCAGTCAATCGATGAATTAATGGATACATTAATTAAATAATTACATTTTATATACTGACAACAATAATAAAAATGAATAAATGAGTAAAAGAACAAATAAAAGTAACCATCACAATAAACAAATGCATTATACAAGTCAGCAACACATGAAACAAAGCTTTATTCAAACTACAAGCACGTATTTACAGCCGCTGAACACCACATCCTACTGCCGACTCGACGCAGCGGTTCCCATTCTGCAGCTTTATTCTGATGAATTCACCAGAGGGGACTGTGCCTTCTTCCCAGAGCTTGTTGTTGTGCTGCGCTTCACAATCTGAGGCAATAAGGGCAGGTGGAGAGATCGAGGGTCTCGTAAAGGCAGGTGGAGAGATGGAGGGACTCATCCATGGCACCACTTCCAGGATGCACCTCTTGGCTCCTCATCCTCAGTGCTCACACCAGTCTGCAGACATTTCAGATCCTACAAAAATGCACAAACATTATACAAAAGCAGTCATTTTAACACAATGTCATTTGATTTATCTATTAAAAATAACCTAACTTAATATTTCAGTAAAATCCCTAAAACAAATGCTGCCATCATCTTTCCTTGCAGGTCCTGCTCCACCACAAAAGCTCTGCAGCAAATGCACAGAAATCAAGAATCAGAAAAGTGTTGTAATTTCTCTACTTGAATTTACAATAACTCAAATAAACTACAATTTAAGATTGAATAGATTTTGTTATCCATTTCTGTAGTATACTCACCCAAAGCCTTTGATGACAGCATTCAGCATCATGAGCCTCTCTCCACCGGATAAACACACGCGTGTTCTTCTGTCCTTGTAACATACAGACAAGATTGACATTACGAGCTCAACACTGAATTTACATGCTGAGGTTGATGTGTTAACTCACTTTTAATCCAACTTAAATGTTCCTTAATATATCAACACTAATAAGGGACAAATTAAATATAACATATTTAGTTACTTTATAGATTTGTTTATTTACCGTATTTACAGCACACTTGTCTAATGTAAGTAGTGTTGACAACAGTGAATTATCCTTCATAATAGCACACATAACGTTGCATCACTCAGATGTATTTTTCATGTTGGGATGTGCTCATCTGCAATACTTAAACAATATTTTCATTTCAGATGTAAATAGACATTTTAAATAAGCGTGTTTAAGATGTAACGTTATATGGTTATGCAAATCCATTTTAGAAACTTACGTGTAGCCTACTTACTGGAGCTCCCCCGTTTAACTAACTAATAAACCATGTGTTTACAGCAAAATCACAACTATACTATACTGTCTAAGTCCTTTAGCTCTCAACAGTTAAAACGTTTACTCTATAGTAGTTTAACACATACGATTTAAACACAAGGAACCGTGTTTACTCACATTTGAAAACCCCCTGCTTCGCTGATCTCCGCGATGTTGATAATGACGAATGCTCTCCCGTGGCCTCCTGGGATAGAAGAGTATCCATCGGATGAACACTCAAAAATCTTGGCGAAAGCAGGAGATCATCAGGGAACTTCTCGCCTACTCTTTTATGAGTACTGAGGTTTCTGACATACTACTCCTTTCAAATACTGTTTTCCCCTACTATATAGTACGAAAGTAGGAATATTCGGACGTACTATAAGTATACGTATGCCCGAATCTCGCGATAATTAGTACGTCACTCTGGTAATTCTCGCCTACTCTTTATGAATACTAAGGATTCGGACATACTTATTCGCTCGCCTACTGCTTTTTCCATACTATATAGTAGGGAAGTATGCGGTTTCGAACGCAGCCACTGTCTTTTTTTTTTCTGGTCGAAATTTAGAATTTCAATATCTCAGCTCTGGAAGGGTCTAGAGCCTCCATTGTTGCACTCAGGTCTAAGTCTCATGGCCCTCTATCAGAATCCAGAGTTTTGAGAAGATTGGGGATACTTAATTTTTCGCCCCCCAAAAAAAAAAAACGTAAGGGGTAACACTGTCGTTTTTTTTTCTGGTCGAAATTTTGATTTTCGATATCTCAGCTCTGGAAGGGTCTAGAGCCTCCATTTTTGCACTCAGGTCTAAGTCTCATGGCCCTCTATCAGAATCCAGAGTTTTGAGAAGATTGGGGATACTTAATTTTTCGCCCAAAAAAAAAAAACGTAAGGGGTAACACTGTCGTTTTTTTTTCTGGTCGAAATTTTGAGTTTCGATATCTCAGCTCTGGAAGGGTCTAGAGCCTCCATTGTTGCACTCAGGTCTAAGTCTCATGGCCCTCTATCAGAATCCAGAGTTTTGAGAAGATTGGGGATACTTAATTTTTCGCCCCAAAAAAAAAACGTAAGGGGTAACACTGTCGTTTTTTTTTTGGTCGAAATTTTGAGTTTCGATATCTCAGCTCTGGAAGGGTCTAGAGCCTCCATTGTTGCACTCAGGTCTAAGTCTCATGGCCCTCTATCAGAATCCAGAGTTTTGAGAAGATTGGGGATACTTAATTTTTCGCCCCCAAAAAAAAAACGTAAGGGGTAACACTGTCGTTTTTTTTTCGGGTCGAAATTTTGAGTTTCGATATCTCAGCTCTGGAAGGGTCTAGAGCCTCCATTTTTGCACTCAGGTCTAAGTCTCATGGCCCTCTATCAGAATCCAGAGTTTTGAGAAGATTGGGGATACTTAATTTTTCGCCCAAAAAAAAAAACGTAAGGGGTAACACTGTCGTTTTTTTTTCGGGTCGAAATTTTGAGTTTCGATATCTCAGCTCTGGAAGGGTCTAGAGCCTCCATTTTTGCACTCAGGTCTAAGTCTCATGGCCCTCTATCAGAATCCAGAGTTTTGAGAAGATTGGGGATACTTAATTTTTCGCCCAAAAAAAAAAAACGTAAGGGGTAACACTGTCGTTTTTTTTTCGGGTCGAAATTTTGAGTTTCGATATCTCAGCTCTGGAAGGGTCTAGAGCCTCCATTTTTGCACTCAGGTCTAAGTCTCATGGCCCTCTATCAGAATCCAGAGTTTTGAGAAGATTGGGGATACTTAATTTTTCGCCCAAAAAAAAAAAACGTAAGGGGTAACACTGTCGTTTTTTTTTCGGGTCGAAATTTTGAGTTTCGATATCTCAGCTCTGGAAGGGTCTAGAGCCTCCATTTTTGCACTCAGGTCTAAGTCTCATGGCCCTCTATCAGAATCCAGAGTTTTGAGAAGATTGGGGATACTTAATTTTTCGCCCCAAAAAAAAAACGTAAGGGGTAACACTGTCGTTTTTTTTTCGGGTCGAAATTTTGAGTTTCGATATCTCAGCTCTGGAAGGGTCTAGAGCCTCCATTTTTGCACTCAGGTCTAAGTCTCATGGCCCTCTATCAGAATCCAGAGTTTTGAGAAGATTGGGGATACTTAATTTTTCGCCCAAAAAAAAAAACGTAAGGGGTAACACTGTCGTTTTTTTTTCGGGTCGAAATTTTGAGTTTCGATATCTCAGCTCTGGAAGGGTCTAGAGCCTCCATTTTTGCACTCAGGTCTAAGTCTCATGGCCCTCTATCAGAATCCAGAGTTTTGAGAAGATTGGGGATACTTAATTTTTCGCCCAAAAAAAAAACGTAAGGGGTAACACTGTCGTTTTTTTTTCGGGTCGAAATTTTGAGTTTCGATATCTCAGCTCTGGAAGGGTCTAGAGCCTCCATTTTTGCACTCAGGTCTAAGTCTCATGGCCCTCTATCAGAATCCAGAGTTTTGAGAAGATTGGGGATACTTAATTTTTCGCCCAAAAAAAAAAACGTAAGGGGTAACACTGTCGTTTTTTTTTCGGGTCGAAATTTTGAGTTTCGATATCTCAGCTCTGGAAGGGTCTAGAGCCTCCATTTTTGCACTCAGGTCTAAGTCTCATGGCCCTCTATCAGAATCCAGAGTTTTGAGAAGATTGGGGATACTTAATTTTTCGCCCAAAAAAAAAAACGTAAGGGGTAACACTGTCGTTTTTTTTTCGGGTCGAAATTTTGAGTTTCGATATCTCAGCTCTGGAAGGGTCTAGAGCCTCCATTTTTGCACTCAGGTCTAAGTCTCATGGCCCTCTATCAGAATCCAGAGTTTTGAGAAGATTGGGGATACTTAATTTTTCGCCCCAAAAAAAAAAACGTAAGGGGTAACACTGTCGTTTTTTTTTTCGGGTCGAAATTTTGAGTTTCGATATCTCAGCTCTGGAAGGGTCTAGAGCCTCCATTTTTGCACTCAGGTCTAAGTCTCATGGCCCTCTATCAGAATCCAGAGTTTTGAGAAGATTGGGGATACTTAATTTTTCGCCCAAAAAAAAAAAACGTAAGGGGTAACACTGTCGTTTTTTTTTCGGGTCGAAATTTTGAGTTTCGATATCTCAGCTCTGGAAGGGTCTAGAGCCTCCATTTTTGCACTCAGGTCTAAGTCTCATGGCCCTCTATCAGAATCCAGAGTTTTGAGAAGATTGGGGATACTTAATTTTTCGCCCAAAAAAAAAAAACGTAAGGGGTAACACTGTCGTTTTTTTTTCGGGTCGAAATTTTGAGTTTCGATATCTCAGCTCTGGAAGGGTCTAGAGCCTCCATTTTTGCACTCAGGTCTAAGTCTCATGGCCCTCTATCAGAATCCAGAGTTTTGAGAAGATTGGGGATACTTAATTTTTCGCCCAAAAAAAAAACGTAAGGGGTAACACTGTCGTTTTTTTTTCGGGTCGAAATTTTGAGTTTCGATATCTCAGCTCTGGAAGGGTCTAGAGCCTCCATTTTTGCACTCAGGTCTAAGTCTCATGGCCCTCTATCAGAATCCAGAGTTTTGAGAAGATTGGGGATACTTAATTTTTCGCCCAAAAAAAAAAAACGTAAGGGGTAACACTGTCGTTTTTTTTTCGGGTCGAAATTTTGAGTTTCGATATCTCAGCTCTGGAAGGGTCTAGAGCCTCCATTTTTGCACTCAGGTCTAAGTCTCATGGCCCTCTATCAGAATCCAGAGTTTTGAGAAGATTGGGGATACTTAATTTTTCGCCCAAAAAAAAAAACGTAAGGGGTAACACTGTCGTTTTTTTTTCGGGTCGAAATTTTGAGTTTCGATATCTCAGCTCTGGAAGGGTCTAGAGCCTCCATTTTTGCACTCAGGTCTAAGTCTCATGGCCCTCTATCAGAATCCAGAGTTTTGAGAAGATTGGGGATACTTAATTTTTCGCCCCAAAAAAAAAAACGTAAGGGGTAACACTGTCGTTTTTTTTTTCGGGTCGAAATTTTGAGTTTCGATATCTCAGCTCTGGAAGGGTCTAGAGCCTCCATTTTTGCACTCAGGTCTAAGTCTCATGGCCCTCTATCAGAATCCAGAGTTTTGAGAAGATTGGGGATACTTAATTTTTCGCCCAAAAAAAAAAACGTAAGGGGTAACACTGTCGTTTTTTTTTCGGGTCGAAATTTTGAGTTTCGATATCTCAGCTCTGGAAGGGTCTAGAGCCTCCATTTTTGCACTCAGGTCTAAGTCTCATGGCCCTCTATCAGAATCCAGAGTTTTGAGAAGATTGGGGATACTTAATTTTTCGCCCAAAAAAAAAAACGTAAGGGGTAACACTGTCGTTTTTTTTTTCGGGTCGAAATTTTGAGTTTCGATATCTCAGCTCTGGAAGGGTCTAGAGCCTCCATTTTTGCACTCAGGTCTAAGTCTCATGGCCCTCTATCAGAATCCAGAGTTTTGAGAAGATTGGGGATACTTAATTTTTCGCCCAAAAAAAAAAAACGTAAGGGGTAACACTGTCGTTTTTTTTTCGGGTCGAAATTTTGAGTTTCGATATCTCAGCTCTGGAAGGGTCTAGA